CGAGTGTAATCTAGTTAATGATTTATTTATGTAATCATTAATCATACATGCTAATTAATAGATAAAAACCAATGAATAAATTACAGAATACCGTAAAAAATTGAGCAGTAACATATTAAAAAATTTAGTATTCATTAATTTTTAAAATAAATTACCAATTGCTTTCTTATAACCAACATTCGGAGAGAAAACGTTAACAAATAATTCTCAATTTTCTACGAAATCATTAAATAATAAAAACTAATAAAGCATATTGGCTCTTTTTGTAGAAAACGTTTCTATAAAATTGATTGTTTCATAGTTTTTCATGTTAACATACTAATTTATTTTTTTTAATTAAAATAAAGAAATTAAATTAATTTAATAGCAGTTAATTCACGATCATGTAATAAAAAAAGCTCAAATTTAATAATGAAATTATGAAATAACTTTGGTAAGTTTTTGGTAAATTATTTTCGCTCAATTTTAGTAAAGTACTAATCCATAATTTTCGTACCTATTTGAAATCCTAAGTGATAAATAACGATGAACAAAATCATATTAGCACAATAGCCGTAAATTTGAAAGGGCAAACTATGCAAAGCTTGCTTTATAAACTCTCAAGCAACAATCTCAACATTCAAGTAACCTGCAGCGTGTTTCAAAAGAACATCAAACTCTCTAGAGAAAGTTCAGAATAACTTACGCGATGTAGCTTTACTACCTAACCGAAATCTTTGCAATCGTATCATGAATGTGTGCTTTTAAGTGTAGGTAAGTATGTAAATTGTGTTATATAAACGCTGCGCTTTCAATTTTCCAACAATAATTAGACAATTAATAAAACAACGTGCTACTATTAATCTTTAAAAACCATTTACGTGTTGCACTTTTCAAATTTATAATATAATAATAAAAAGCAAACCTTTTTATAATTTTTAAATGATAACACATAAGTAAACGTATAATTAATTGCTCCTACCTTCTTCCTACAGTCGAAGTTACTATTACTCCAACGCATGACATTCGTAATTCACATTATTCCAAATTCTGATTTTTTTTTGGATTTGTAAATGTATTTCACCAAACCAAATGCGAACACTATTATTTTAAAGCAAAAAACAACTTAAATTGTATTATCTACGTATTTTCTCATTTTCTGCAGGTAGATTTTAATTGTAAGAAAAGACAGGTACATTTCCACAAAACTAGTACTTGAAATAAAAATGTCGAGGAGAAATTGATGTTAAATAAATTAAATAAAAATTACTGTACCGAAGCCATAGCTTAAACATTCTTATATGAAATACACAAAGGTTTCTAACTGAAAATAAAGAATTGAAACTCAAGTATTAACTAGAAATACCTACGAAATTTCATTTATTTAATTAAGAAGTGTAGCATGACGCTATTGGTATTGTTGCTCCATAAATGTATGAA